GACAGACCCTGCTTGCCCACTCAGCACTCCACAGAGGACAGGGCAGCGGCCAGAGACCGCGCTGCTCTTGACAAACTCTCCACGTGACTGGGCAGCCAGACAGCAGCAGAATAAAATCAGATGGGAGGGGAGTTGGCCCAGCTTCCTGACCAGGTGCTGAGTGGACGCACAGTATTCACGAGAGCGAATCTAAGAGGGAGAAAATTGGTGGCCTTGGCCATAAAGGGGATTGATTACTCAGGGACCCATCACACCCACCAAGGTCAGCCCAGTGGCCTTGGCTGACTCTGCTTCCTGGAGGACAGGGTGCCCTCCAGACTTCGACTCATGAAGATTCAATTAGCTAATAAGTGCTGGATCGGGGAGAGGGTGGCCAGGTTTTCCAATGATGAGAAATAGGAGAGAGACTTTTGGGGATCTGAGAAAGTCTGAAACTGACCCCTGTCCAGGGTGGTAGGGGGAACTAGAGAGGAAAATGCCTTGGCTTTGCGTTCAGGTGGAGCTAGATTTAAATGATTTCCTTTCAGAAGTCATTTCCCCTCTATATGACTCAGTTTCCCCGACTGTCAAGTGGGATTGACAATACCCTACATTCACGGAGAGCTTGCTATGTACTGGACCTTCACTACCTACCTCACTTACATTAACTCAGTCAAACTAGTAGTAACCCCAGGAAGTGGCTGCTATTGTTAGGATCAGCCTTTCACAGACGGAGGAAATGTTCCCAGGTGCCATTGCAAGCTGCCAGGAGTCAAATGTGTGCAACCAGCTTGTATTCAAAACCCTGGGCTGGTCCACTCTGCTGCCTTTTAATGGGTCATGCACATACAACACCTAGGGTTCACCCAGATGTGCCAAGAAGCACTAGTGGACTGGGAGCTCTGTCTGGGTGCTGACACCCCAGTGAGAACTTTCCACATGTTAACGCCCAGTAGCCACTGCCATCGCCATCCACACCAGAGGGAACTGAGACACAGAGAGCTCAAGACACTTGCCTGTTACAGACTTATAAGCCACAGAGGTGGTTTTGAACCCAGACAGTCAGTCTCCAGAGCCCCACACTTAGGCTTCTGCAAAGAGGTGGCTAGTGAGGGTGGCCACCCTCGGCACTTGTCTACCGAGGGTACATTATCTACCAGGAAAAGCTGCATGCAGAGCTCACCACAGGGGTCTCCACATACCCACAGCATCCTGGGCTTTGGGAGGTCCAGAGATGTGCCCTGCTGCTTCAGCCCAGCCTCCTAGCCTGGTTAGGGACCAAGGCAGACTCAGGAATGTCCCTGGTCCTGGAGAGATTGACAGCCGGGAGAGGAAGCCCTTAGTGTGTAAGGCCTTCTTGGAAGAGGTGAGCTAAGCAACAGGCAGGACATGGGCAGGGGAGATGTGCATGGAGAAAGTGAGGTTGCTCCTGTGGAGCAGGGTGGCTTGAGCTAGAGCAAGCAGGAAGCTGGCCATAGTGGCACCTGCCTGTAGTCCCAGTGAATCCTTGGGAGGCTCATGCAGGAGGATCACAAGTTCAAGGCCAGCCTCAGCAACTTAGCAAGGCCTTGTCTCAAGTTTAAAAAAAAAAAAAAAGGCAGGGTTGCAGGGCAAGGGTGTGGGGTTGGTGATGTAGCTCAGAGATAGAGCATCCTGGATGTAATCCCCAGTGCCACCATTAAAAAAAAAAGCAAATAGGTGAGAGGCCAGATGAGTGACCTAAGGCAACGGACAGATGGAGCATCTCTTAGAATCTCCCACTCTAAAATGTCCCACCCTGCCTGGCCCTGGGAAGGCAGGACCGAGAGCGGCCAGTGATAGACAGTGAGTGCACTTTGGGTACATAAACCTGGGAGAGTGGCACAAAAAGCAGCCAGTTCCATCTGGCCCATGGCTCTGCTCAGGTCAGTCCTATCCGTGGAGGAACCCTGCGCCTTCCTCCTGGGGGTCCCATTGTCCTCCCAGTGGCTTTTGCTCCCATCCTCCAGCCAACTGAGACCCCACCATTTAAATCATTACCCCAGATCATTAAGTTGGAATCCATAATGTGGACTCTCCCTCGGGGAGCATTCAGCTGCAAAGTCATAAAATGGCGACGCGGATGGTCATTAACCATGAGGGCTGTTTATCCCGCGGCCTGCTCTGGCCGGTGGAAGTCATGAGGACAGAAGCCAGCATCCCCTCGCTCTCCGGAGTGGAGGTGGTGGCTGCTGCTCTCTGGTGCTTGCAACAGAGCTGTGCTGACAGTGGAGGCAAAGGTCAACCACAGCCCACCCCTCATCAAGATCCCCAAGCCACCTCTCAACACAACTGTGCAGCTGGCTCTAACACCTGCCCACGCCACCTCTACCCCCAGAATGCCCTCTCCTCATTCCCCTTCCCAACTGTTCTCAGGGAGCCCTCCCTGGCCACTCTGGGTCCAGAGTTCAGTCCATCAGTCCCCCCAGCTCCCACCTTTTCAGACATTCACCTGGCCTTGTGGCCACCTTAGAGTCCTGGTCCTTCCTTCAGGGACAATGCTCCCAGAGGACATCCATTTATTTGTCTCCATCTTCTGTGTCCCCACCACTCCCCTTTCAAATCTGATGCACGACTTTATGTCCAGGAAGTGCTCAAAATATGAACCATGACACCAGAGGGTCACTGCTGCCAGTCTTCGTTGCCCATCTCTACCCAACACGGTCACATGAGCATTTCTACACAGCTCTGAGGACCAGGACCAGCCTCCTCAAAGGGGCTTCTGACCCAGACAAGAACAAGGACCAAGTGCCAACGAACTTAGGAAGGTAAGAGTGTCCTAGGCTCTGACAGTATTGGGGGTGGCAGACCCAGGACTCAATCCAAGGTCTTCTGGCACTGAGGTCTATCTCCCCAGAAAGTGTGGTGGCCCACCTGAAGTCACGTGGTGGAGGCCAGGCAGGGCCGTGAGAACCTAGAGTGTGGGCCACCTCTGCTATATCTCCCTACATGTCCCTGACCGTCTGAGCCTTAGGATGAAAGGGATGAGTACAGCAGAAAGCCACCTGGGGCTCAGACAAGTTCTGAGTGGAGCAGCCAGGCCAACTGTCCATCCAACCCAGGACCAGAAAGGACTGGAGTTTGGGAGAGGCCTCAGGGCTGTGGGGACCTATCAAGCCTCCCTGGACAGGTGCCAAGCCATATGCTTCCCCTGTTATATAATCTGCTGGCTCTCTACAGACCATGGCTGTCCGTGGCATGGTCAGGGAAGACGTGAGACCCCATGGCACTTGCCCACCCAGGTGCATTTCAGACTGAGCCAGCCCCCAGGGCCATGGGCAATTTAGTTCCTGAATGTCATTCTCAGACTGTTATCTATTTGAAGCTGCTCAGCATCCACCCACCATGTGGAGCTGCCCAAGCTGACCCAAGAGTCACCAAAAGCCATGTGTGAGGCCATCTAGTCTGGCCCTAGCCAGAGGCTTCCCCAAGATGTGCTGAGGGAATGAAAAAGGCCCAGTATTGGGGAGAGCAACACAGCAAAGCTGGTCCGTATGAAAGGCTCAGATGAGGCCCCAGGAGAAAACAGGACACATTTCTTAAATACCCTGTGTGCACATGTGTGTGTTTGCATGTGGGTGCTTGCATGGATATGCTTACATGTGTGTGTTTACATGTGGGTGCTTGATGTGCATTTGTAAGCATGAGGAGAGTTGTGCAAGGACACGTAGCTTGCTCCGCAAGGTGAGAATGATGGAGGGTGGTGACAGCTGATATTTGCTTTATATGACTCCATACTCCTTTGCACTCCAATTAGTTCACTGAAGATGAGTTAGGAAATGAGAACTGGCAGCTTTGTTTAACCCAGCCTTTCCCAAGCTCATTTGATGATGTTTTGTGCCATGTCTAGAAGCATCCACTGCAGAGGAGATTGGCACAGAATCTAGTTTGAGGAAAGATAAATATGTCCAGCTTCTACTAGAGAAGATCACGGTCCCTTCTGAGGCTGAGAGGCAGAAGGAAGGATGCAGACGCCTGGTCAACGGCAGAGCCCAGAGCTCCCTACAGCCCAGTCCTGCCCCAGATGCTCTGGCAGGGGTGGTGGAGGCAGTTCAGAAGTGACCTGCTCCTGATGGAGAGAAGGTGACAGGGCCACAGAGGAGCAGAGTGAGCCAGTGTTGGGCAATGCAAGCCCTTCCAAGAAGAGAACTGAGGTTTAGGATTGCACAGTGACACCTGGACTCATGGACCGAATCTCTGCTCCAGTTGTCCTGGTCCAGCCACTTGCAAGGTGCTTGACCCCTCTGGGTGTCAAGTAGGGGCTAGGTCAGATGACCCCTAGCATTCCTGAAAGGCTCCAGGATTATGGGCTTCCCAATGATCAGCACTGGAACTGTCCAGTGAATTATCACCTCTGCTTTAGAAGTGAGGTAACTAAGCCTCAGAGAGGTTAATCCGATTCTTCAAGGTGAACAGAGAGAATGGAGCTCAAAATCATCATGCTGGTGTTGGCCTTGTGATCAGGAGTCCTCTGCTTTGAGGTGTCAGGAGCAACTATCTGCTGAGCCAGGCCTGAGACAGGTGGGTGGAGCTTCCAGTCCCGGCTCTAACTCCTATTGGTGTACAAGTTGGACCAGTCAATTTACCATTCTGAGCCTCAGTTTACCCCTCTATTACTGGAAATACCATCTCACTGGTTACATAGGGTCATCCACCACATAAGACAGCGCCAGGTCCATTACGTGTAAGTCTTCACTAAATGAGAACTATTATCGTTACCATCGCTCTATGAATTATCCCAGGGTGGAGAGAAAAGGAGACATAGGGATTTAACTCAAGGTGTGCTGGCCCTGTTTGAAGCCTCAGACCTCCCATCTATAATGGGATGACCTCTGGGAGCCCCTAGATCTATGATATGGATGAAATAAGATCTCTGTGAAATGCTTTTACACAAAAAGGTCTGGAGAAATTCACCCTGCAGCAACCAGAAATCTTTCTCGAGGAAGTGGGTCTGTAATTGTATTAGTCAGCTTTCTGTTACTGTAACAAGTACCTGTGACAACTTATAAGGAAGAAAGGTTTATTTCAGAAGTTCCAATCCATGGTCAGTTGGCCCAGTTGCTTTGGGCCCGTGACAAGGTGGCACATCATCGTGGCAAGCTCGCGGTGCAGCAAACAGCTCATTTCACCACAGCCTGAAGGAAAGAGAAAGAAAAAGGAGCAGCCAGGCTTCCCATGTCCTCTTCAAACACATGCCCCCAGCGACCTAACCTCCTTCTACTAAGCCCCACCACCTCCCAGCAGCACCAGAGTCTGGGGCCAAACCTTTAACACAAATCGTTTTGAGATCCATTCGATATTCAAACCATACCAGTGATACATTAGGGTCAGGGGACACAGGGCAGGGACAACAGCCAAGACACAGCAAAGAGAACATGACAGACACTCCCTGTGTGCCAGGCTCTGAACTAGGAGCTGTCTGGACCAATTCATTCAGTCCCTATGAAGTCAGTACCAGTTAACCCATTTTATAGGCAAGGAGATGGACATCGGAAGACATTAATTAACAGGCTCAAGGTCACAAGTGTGGTGAAGCAGGACCTGAACTCAAACTTCCCAGACCTTTTATCTCCAAAGTACACGCCCTAGCCCGCTGAGGGGCACAGGCTTTGCTGTAACTGCAGAGCCCCAGGACAACCGAGGCCCCTCATCACAGAGGGGAGTGTGGATCCCATGTGGAAACCAACCTGTGCCTCTGCTGGGGGCCTGTTGAGTCTCAGGATCTCTGTTCCCCAAGCAAGAAGTGCAAGTCTCTCTCCTTTAGTGCCACAGAGTATTCCCAGCCCCCAGTGTCACCAAGAAGGTGGTCCCTGCTGGCCTGAGAGAAGAGCTGGGCCTGAACTGCTCTGCGTGGTGACGAAGAGCCACTGGCCGGGTGTGGCGGCCACAGGGTGGAGGGCTGCCTCATCCGTCTCCACCCTGGACGCACCAGCCCCAGCGACCCCACTGAGGCGCTGGCTCCCGAGCTTTCAGACACCGCGTGCCGAGTGTTTGTCAGCTCCTGACACTAATGTTGTTTAAGGCCCAAAGTCTAATGTAAGGCTTCCTTTTAGCAAGATTGTCTCATTTAATAAAACTCTCTGTCTCTGTCCCCCAAGGTAATCACGTTGATGATAACGCATTCCCTGCGCTGTGATTTGATCTGGGAATAGAATTATCGCACAGCCTGGCTTTGCTGTCAGATGTTCTGTTTGTTTTTCCCCCTCTAGAATAGGGGAAGAGGGAACATCCAGGTGAGTGGCTCTGCTCACCTGGGGCTTGCCACTCCACTCCTCATCCCCAGGAGGCACTTTCTCATTGACTCCATCAACAGCGTCCCCCAAATACCTGTGCCGTGGGCTGCCCCTACTTCACTGCGCCTTGGGCAAGTCAAGCCCCCTGATCCGCTCGAGCCCCTGCGGATGGGGGGTAAAAAGAACAGAGCCAGCACTGGAGTTGAAGAGTCGAATACAGCTGGGTTCCAATCCCGACTCTGCCTGTCACTAATCATGTCACCTGGAACAGGTCACTTCACCTCTAAGGCTTTTGTCATCGCCTAAGACACGAGCTACATCACAGGGATATTGAGGACAGTGGCTGAGCAAGCAAAGGCCCCTGGCACATTAGAGAGGTGCTTATCCCCGGCACCCCCTAAACTTGCAGCCCTGAGAGAGACCCTCCCGAATTTCTGTGTACTCTTAAGAAGAAAAAGTGAGATCAAGCATTTCAAATGCTTGTTGTTGCTCACTATCACTGCCATCAGCACCACCATCCCTCACTATCACCACCAGTATCACCATCACCGTCACTATCATCATCACTATCGTCACCACCATTCTTCACTGTCACCATCAACATCATCACCATCATCACCACCATCATCATTACCACCATCATCATCACCATAATTCTTCATCAAGTGAGAAGGGAGAGCTCTTTAAAGCCTGCAAGGGGCTGCCCTGGTGTAGGCGGGGTGGATGCAAAGCTGGGAACTCTGTGCTCTGGAGCCCTGGGCTAGTCACTTCACCTCCCCAGTCTAAGTGCTTGTCTGGGAAGCAGTAGCGTTCTTAAACCTAGTGGCCCAGGTACATGTGCACCTGTGGGAGTGCGTATCACCTACCCCACTTTGCTGTCCATCCCTCAGTTAGTGGACCCAAGCATGGTGGAGGCCTGGTGGGCTTCCAGGAGTCCCCCCAGCCTGCAGATGCAGTTCATGAAGTCACATCTGGCCAGCAACTGGGTCCAGCCAGCAGAGCAGGTGCTTGAAGGCTTCAGGAGGACTGGCTCCTGGGCTCAGTTGGGGTCTGCAGGGCTGATGGCTTCCTCCTGACCACAAAGCACGAGCAGCATGAGCAGCTCCTTGGGAAAGGGCACAGGATACAGAGCTGGGAGAGCAAAGTTCTCACCCTGCCTCCTGTAGGCATTCCCTGGGGGCTTGGGGCATACTGAGCCCAGATGCTTTCTATACATTTGGTATATCATGACAGTCCTGGCACTTAAGAAGGTGACAGAAGATATGATGAAAGAACTTTTTTAAAAAAATGTATGGGCAGGGTTAAAAGACACCAGAAAGGGCTGGTAATCACCCCCAGGGTTTGCAACAGAAGGATCTGCTAGCACCCTGAGGACTAACAATGAAAGGGCAGGGGATGATTTCTGAATCCCAGCAGGATCAGAGCAGCCATGACCACAAGCCAGCAATTACTGACCTCCAGCCAGTCAATCCTGGGGCAGATCACATTTTTCAAATGGCTGCTTCAATATCTCCCTTTCTACAAAGTCTTTTTCTACTGCTTCAACTTCTTGAATCTAGATAGAGTTGTGATTACAGCAGAAATGACACTGTGATTTTAAATGTTAGGTCATAAAAAAAAGAAGCCACCTAACCTCTCCGAGATGCTCTCTTGGAAGGTGGCGACCATGCTGGGAGGAAGCCCAAGAAGCCATGTGGAGAGGCCACATACAGGTGACTCCAAGCTATCACAACTGAGCTCCCAGCCCAGAGCATCCATTGTAACACATGTGAGTGAGGGAGACTTCAGATGGGTCCATCCCCAGCCTCTACGTCTTCCAGCCTGAGATCCCATCTGCTGTGGAATAGAGGCAAGCCATTTCCACACGTACCTTCCAAATTTGTGACCTATGGCATCTATAGGTAAATTCAAACACTGGTTGTTTTAGGCTACGGTATAATGAGTTGTGCAGAATTATTAAGTGCAACACCTCACACTGGCTGAACTCAGCCAGGAGCCAGTGAATGAGTGTATTCTATGCTTCCATCCATAGGGACCACACTCACAGAGCACTTGACAGGGTAGAAATGGGAGGTGACTGAAGATGAAGGGGCAAGGGAGGAACTAGGGAACATAGAAGGCAATGGCTTTAGGACCAGGGACCTGATGGGTACTGCATCCAGCCTGGCAGATCTAAAGACCCTTTCCTACATCAAAAGGTTAGTCCCTCTGACCTGCTCAATTGTCCCAACTGCCTGAGTATCTTTTGCATCTCCCACCTGCCTTCCCCACCCCTCGCCCAGTCCAATCTTGCCCATGCAGCCTGAGAACCAGACACCCCTCTTTTCTGATCACCACTGAAACTCAGAACCTCGCTGCCTCCCTGTCCTGTTCAAACTCCTGAGACAGTGGAGGCTCAGCACTGGACATGGAAAATGGGAGGTGAGTGTGAGAGCTGCTCTCAAGCTACCCGAGCCTTGCCCTCCTCCTCAGAATTTTCCCCTCACCTCGCTTCTGCAGCCATCTCATCATAAACCCTCCAGAGAACCAAACCATTGCCACTGCAGCCCTTTGCCTCCTGAACCCCACCCCAAAATACCAAAAACAGGAGAATTTGAGGCAGTAGCTGAGTAAGAGGGCTAGTACAGATGAGATCCACATCCCCCAAAACCTAGCAGGGGCTTCTCCAAATTCCACATGCTGTGCACCTTCCTTCTGAAGGGCTGGGCAGGGTCACCGCTATGCTAGGAAGTCATTACCTATTCAAGGATACCCCCTGCTTCGAGCCACAGCTTCTCCTGCGTGCTGCCCTCCCCACCTCCAGCTCCCGGGATCTTAGCTATTCACTTACTGAACCATGACTGCCCCGGGAGCAGGGCCGTGTCTTCTTATTGTTCCTAATAAAACAATAACTACACATGGTATTTCAGTGGCTGTTAATAAAAAAAAAATCTTCACATTTTCTTATGAAAATTGAAGCACAGAGAAGGAAGGTGACTTGCCCAGGGTCACGCAGGTGGCAAGGAGTAGAGCCAGGACTTGGAGGTCAAGGCTTCCCCCCACCCCCGAATGGTTGATCACATCGCCAGATCCAGCACGTGGCTGAACAAGGAGAAGGCACTCGATAAATATTTGGGGAACTGCACCAAACCTTAGCAGATTCCTGTTGCTTGAATAAAGCTCTGATAACGAATAGAAACCAGACCACCTCGGTGATTTCCAATTCAAACGCTGTCATCCGCCCCATGAATTCTGATGCACTGATGTCTTTTGTTTTTTTGGAGGGGTTTTGTTGCTTTCAGCAAGGAGAGGCAGCGGGAGGAGGTACACGGAGGTCGCCTGGGGAATCGATTCTGCACAGCATTTCAGATGAGAGATGGGGAAACGTTTTAGAACAAATAGATGCTGGTTATCACAATACTACCAAGAGGAAGATGCGCCAGGATTTGGGGTCCCATTTAACAGATGAGAAAACTCTGGCCCCAGGACTCAGGGGATATGTTTGAGTTCGCACAGAGAGGGACCAACAGCAGCTGTCTTGACACTCAGGCTAGGGTGGGGGTTCTTGTATTTCCGCTGCTACCACCACCTCCAAAGTGACTTGCTCTGAACATTATGGCCTCATGGGATGGACAGAGGGCTCAACTCTAGGAAAAGCATATGGCAGTGTCACTACATCAGAGGGCCAGGCTCTGAATGCAGATAGAGATCCTGAAAACAACCCTCCCTGCGGCAGGAAGCACATTTCCCCAAACCCAGTAGCTTTTCTCATTTCCCTTCTTCTGCATACAGCAGGCAGATAATCAGAGCATGCAGACTGACTCTCCCTCACCAATGATGCCTTGCAGAGCAGAAGGAGGGAACCAAGCAATCCATATGCCTCTTGGTGACACCGAATTGGTGACACTCTCTGGGCATAGGGTTCCCAGAAGATTGCAGCCCTCAATGATGCTCTCTTCCAGAAGTGCCTAGAAACTCCCCTGCCCATCTTCTGGGATGGAAGGAGTTGGAACAGAGGGTATCCAGCACGAAGCTAAAGCAAAATTTCTCTCGTCCTTTGACCTTATAACCTTGGGCAAATCACATTTCCTTGCAACTCTATTTCTGCATTGGTCAAATGATGCTCAGACTACCCACTTGGAGTAAATGTGTATCTCCAGAGATTAAATGGTGACACAATACTACACCTGTTTTATCACCACTGTGCTTCCCCTATTACAGCTTAGCCCCACCCCTGCTATATGACCAGCTCCCAGCCCTGCTCCTGACTGGAGCTGTCCAGAGCCAGTCCTCAGGGCTGGAGGTCAGCCACCAGGCCTAGGCCAGAGAAAAACCAGTGGGCCAGCCTGGATGGCTAAGTGTCGTTGCCTATGGCAACTGGCATCAGACTGCATCCAGAGTACAAGGTCAAGGTCTTAGCTGAGGAGGGAGCCGAGCCAGTTTCTCAGGAGCAGTAATAAGCATCAACACAGAAGGAAGACAAGTCAGGGGTGAGGAACCACAGAGACCAGGCCAGTCAAGAGGCCAAGAGTAGTGTGGGGAGGCCAGCAGCTCAGGAAGAAGGCTGGGAGCCAGGCCCCTTCTTGTTGGGAGAGAACCATACACGGCATAGCTCAGACTGCCAGGGGTCTGTGTGGCCAGAGTCTAGAGTGAGCCAGGCCTCCGCGACCAAGAGTGTGACCAGCACCCGCACTCTGGGTCAGCCTGGGAGTGTCGTGTTCTGGAATATCTGTGTGTACACCTATACCTGACTTGCCTGGTTCCCCACCTCCAAAGATGACTTGGAGCCTTTACACATCTATGAGAGATTTATAAGGATACATAAAAGACCATGATAAAACATAAATTAGAAATGGATAGGGATATAAGAAGAAAACAGAACAAAGGATATTAAATGCCAAAAATCTGACTAATTCCAAAACAAAGACTCTAAAGTCTTAAATGTTGTTTCACAGTGTCAAAACCTTAAAACTAAGATTTCTGGTAGCAAGTGCAAAAGAGAAATCTGATCATTTACATAAGTAACAAGGACAAGTAGCAGAGGCTGGACCACCAGAAGTCTGGGTGCCCGAGGAGCCCACTACTGCCCAGAGCTGCTCCTGAAACCACAGCTAAAGGGGGCCCAGCATCTTGCCACACTGCTGGCACCCACCTGAGGCAAAAGAGTGTCAAGCTGGGTGTGACTGCTCTCTCCCCGTGTCTGGACCTTTCAACCCCTGGATAGTGCCTCTTCCTCCTTTCTCTGTGTTGATCTTGCTGCCTAGACTCAGGGACATGGGTCTCCTAGGTGGTTCCCAGCTAGGGCAGAGTCAGCTTGGAGAGGAGCAGCAGGTGTCCTGTGGACAAGTCACTCCTGGATACAAAAACACTAAAGTCAGCCTGAGTGTCTTAGAGCAGAAAAGGTTCTTAGACATCAGTTGACACAACTCCTTCCTCTTACAGACAGAAAAAGTGAGGCCCAGGAAGAGAAGGGAGTGATCCAAAGTCACATAGCTGGGTAACTCCAGAAGTCCCAAGTCAGGAGAAAAAAGGCCAGACCAGTAGGAAACATCATCCTCCAGAGGCTGCCATGCTGGGGGGAAGCTCAAGTTGCACACAGAGGCCATGACTAGGCTCTGATGGTGCCAATCCCAGCAGAGCTCAACCATCTGGGCTCTCCAGCTATTTTTCCAGGCCAAGGCCCCAACACCTTAGAGCAGAGCCACATCATCCCTGCCATGGTCTGCCTGAAACTTGACTTGTAAAATCTGGGCACATAATACTTGCACTTGCATTGCAAGGAGTTGCTGGGAAGGCCAGATGGCTGTGCTCTGCTGGGACTGTCACCAGCAGGGCCTAGTCATGGCCTCTATTTGCAACTTGAGCTTCCCCACAGCATGGCAGCCTTCGGAGAATGATGCTTCCTATTGAAGCAATAGCTCAGAACTACAAGAGCAAATGTTTTAGTGAGCAACATGGAAGTCGTGCCAGCTGTATTGTCTTAGTTTCTCTTTGGTCACATTCAGTGGGGTGAAGAAGTCACTGGTCTGCTCAAATTCAAAAGGAAATTAATGGGAGAGCAGCTATGATTTTAAACCACCACAATCACATTGGTGGCTCAGCAATCTGCCAGAGACGCACAACAGGAATCCCTCCCTGAAAGATCCACAGAGGCTGAGATGTTCACTTCCTGTGCCGCTGGCCTCTTGCACCCCACCATTAAGTCTGATATCCTCCCCCAAAATGATCAGGAGATTAGACCTGGCACCCATCAAGGCAGGGGATTCCTAGTCTCTGCTTGCATAGCTCTAGTGACAGGAAGCTCACCACCTCACCAGCAGCATTCTAATCTCTAGGCAGCACACACAATTAGAAGTACTTCCCAAATCAGCCTGTCCTTTAACTTCTCCCTGTCATCCCCAGGTCCACAGAGAAGAAGGCAACATGAAACAGGACAAAAGGGTAAAGACTCTGGGATCAGGTGGAAGTGGCTTTGCTTCAAATCTTGGCTTTGCCCTTTACAGGCTCTGCAGCCTTGGTATCTTTGAGCCTCGGCCTCCTCGTCTGTAAAATGAGAATAATGCCCTTTATGAAGGGAGGTTGGGAGAGCCACATGCCATAGCACCCGTGAAAACATCTGGCACACTACAGAGGTCAAGGACATGCTATCTCCTCCACGTTCCCCCTTGGACACACCATATTGAGGTGGCTTCTTTAGGCTTACGCACCAGAGACACAATCATATGATGCAAGTGACTGGCCTGAGGAACCACTGGTACAAAAGGACATGTCCTCTGCCACAGTAGCACCTCATGGTAAGCCAGAGGGGCTAGGCATTCCCAGCTGTCTCATGTCAGCTTCTTGGTCCAACTCATTGTCTACTAAGTGTAAAAGAGTCTGTGGTGGGTGGGTGGAGAGATGGATGGATGGGTGATGGACAAGTGAACAGCTTAAATAGGTTTCCAAGTGCCATCAGGAAACACTCATCCCCTTTTAATCCTGGTCCTATTGAATGTCATCTTTTTGGTAAGAAATAGTACAAAATGGATCAGTTTAAGCTCAGAAGAGGGCTGATAAAGCACAGATTGCAGGGGTTCTGACTTGGAGAAGAGTGGACCTGGGTGGCTTTGAGACTGCAGTTCTGGCCAGTTCCCAGGTACAGCTGTGGCCATTACCCCACAAGTCATGCTTTGAGTCACTCTTGGAGGAAAACAGAATAATTGGCTTCCAGAGGCTTTGCCAAACAAGCTCATGGCCAGACAGAGTCACCTTGCCTGAAAGAAGTCAGCAGGAGAGGAAAGGAAGGTGCCCCTCCAGTCTGGGGGTGCAAAGGAGGCATGACATGGCCCCTTCTCCCATCTCTGCCAATCTTCTGCTCTCATCTCCAGTCTGGACTTTCGTGAAAGTCCCTGTGAAACCAGAATGGCTTCACTACAGCAGGGGCTAGAAGACACCACCTCCCTATGGGAGCTCAGGCTGCCCAGAAATCCCAATAAATAGACAAGGTATCCAGAGGCCAGGCAGGCCACTCACCTGCTACAACCCTGGCAGCAAGAAGAAAAAGCCCTGGGAAGAAGAGAGTCCCCTGGCTTCTCAGACACACACACACACACACACACACACACACACACACACACACACACAAACGGAGGAAGGTCTGACCTCCTCTCTCAGATATCCACCAGGTCTTACTCACTGTAGGTCCCTTGGCCAATGGTAGCAGAGCCTTGATTCAGGATTTAGCTCAGGCTTTAGCTTGCTGGGTGACCTTAAACATATCTCTTCCCTTCTCTGAGTCTTAGTTTTTTTTCAACTGTGAAAGAAGGTAGTTGAACCTGGCCTTGGCTAGGAAAGGGACTCCTATCCCAGGAACCACTAATGTCCTCTTTTTTTCTCTTTCTTTCATCCAAAGTCCTGTGACCCAGGACTGAATCTCTAGCAATGAACGAGAGCAATGAGAGGAGCCCAAGCTCCTTTTGTGCACCTGATGCATTATCCTTGTCTCATTTTGTCTTAACCTCACACAACCATGATTCTGGGAGTCACCATTCCTGATTTACAGAAAAGGAAACTGAGGAACAGAATAAAGGGAAGAGCCAGGGTTCAGAAGTTAGTGTTTCCACAGATCATCATACACCTCTAAGCTGTGATCTCCACCCCTGACCCAGCCTTGGTCCTCTAGCTCTATGCTGGGGTGGGGGTCACCCTTCCTGAGCAACCTCCATCACCCTCCAAGATCCATGCCCTACAAGAACATGGAAAGACCCAAGGCTGAGGGGTCACCCCGATCAGATTCAGGTGTTCCAAGCCAGGCAAGGGCTTCTACTCCCTCACTCCTGAGAAGGCAATGCCAAGTCGCCAAGTCAGGTTGCTCAGACCCTCCCTCCACAGTGGTCACCCTGAGTGGTGAGTGCCCTGGGAGTGCTGACAGGGGCTTCCTAGGCTCCTGCCCCCACCTGGACTTCTCATCACTCACCATGAGTGCTCACATGTGTCCCAGGCCGTGGAGCAAGCCCCACTCAAGCAGTAACAGCATGGCATAAGAAATGGAATGTGTTTGGCTTCTGCACACTTATCCACAATCTTGCAATCCTGAAACTAGAAGGATGCTGTTTTAACTCCAACATACAAGGAAGTTTAGTGTCATTATGGAAAATGAACTTTATCTGGAGTTATGCAGGGTGGGAGCGTGACCTTGTCAGTGCTTGGGGCCTAAGGGTCTCAGCCATACTAGGCCCAAAGCCTTACCCTTCCACTTTGAAGATGTGCCAGTCACTTCCTACTGCCTGGAACACTTCCCCTCTCCTCTTCTGCCTCCCCCAAATATACTCATCTCTCATGGCTTCCTTCACTTCATGTGTCCTCCAGGAAGTTGCTCCTAACCCCATTGCCACCCATCTCAATCCCAGCTCCAGGCCTGGATTGCTGAGCTCTGGAACCAGGTACTCCTTGGGTTGTTTTGTAGGTTCCTCTGCTATTTTTCAGGGTGAGGCAGGTGGCCCGACCAAAAGGCCCTGCGTGGACATCAGACACCATCTAAGACACTGGTTCTTTCACAAGGTCTGTGAAGTTGAAGGCCTTATTTACCAATGACACCCTCCCTTTTGCAAGCACACTGTGGCACCTTCCAGGGGTGACATGAGATAGCTCAACAGATTGAATGCAGAAGCAAGCACGAGAACACAGCTGTCTCCTCTGAAGTAAATCTCTACAGAGTAGCACAAACGTAGTGATGGTGCTGTTCTGCTCAAATTTCTCCCTTTTAGGAAACACTTATTTAATGAAAAATACGTTACCTATGTTCACCGAATGGCATAGTCTTGGTACTTTTAAAGAATTAACAAATATTTTATAATTTCTCTATTTCAGTTACTAATATGATAAAAATTGAGAGACACGTTGTTAGCCAGGTAACCGAAACAACCTGGGGCTCCCAGCAACTTAGAAGAGTAAGAGTCCTGAGGATCCACTGATTGGAGGAGGTTCCCGCCTACCATAGCTGATTGGATGAGGGGTGGAGCCTGACCAAAGGTCAGCCAATCCAGAGGCAGACAGTGTTATGTGAAGAGGCGGGGCAGAAAGATGACTTCCGCTGTGCTGTGCAGAGTGAATTGGGCTGGCGGGTCGCCAAGAGGTCTGGGAGAGAAGTCAAGAGGAACTTTGAGACCATGGGGCGGCCACATCTTTGAAGCTCAGGGACTCAGGCCCAGGCCAGACACACGGAGAGGAAGAAGGAACGCGGTAGTTTGCACAGAATAGAATCAAGTTAGAAGCAAGGGACCTGGATATACACAGCATCACGTGTGAACTGCAGCCCCAGAACGAATGCACCTCGTGCTCCCTGGTTCCCAAAAGGTCTACACCACACGTCTGGCTCTGAAACACCCTGGTTTCATTCACCCAGGCTCCAAAGATGGGGCTTGTCACTTGGCCCTCCTCCATTCCTTGAGCCCCTCTGTCCCTTACCATCTTCAGAGCTCAACCAAAATAGCCTTGATGTCTGCGCGGCTCCTGTCCCCTCAGGACCAGCAGCTGAGCAGCAGTTCCTCCCATCATCACCCTGGAGCTGATGAATGCGGCTCAGGGAGCAGGGAGGGCTCTGGAGGGCTGACATCATCACACATGGACAGGCTCTCGACAGGTGCAGCTAATATTAGGACGCTTGCTCCTGCCTCCACCGCTACTGTTATTATTAGTGGTGGTATTAATATCACAGCAGGAAATGGTCTTCAAGGTCACGGAGCTCCAGCGCTTGATTTTATTGAGGGATAAACAGGAAGGCCAGGAGTGGGTCAGAAGCAGAGCTGGAGTCAGCGCTCACTCTCCTGTCCTATCTGCAAAGTCCTAGTGAGACTGTAAGCTCCCTGGGGGCAGGGGATATCCAGCAGTGTCCACACCCTCGAGACCATCTGTTCCTTCTCTCGGGAGTCATTTCTTTGAACACATCCCATGAGCCAGGCACTATGCCAAATGCTGTCTGCCTACAACAGGGCTTGGCCCCAAATTGGTTCAATCAATGTTTGTAAATCGATCCTTGGCCTCTCCCATCTGGCTGTACACTGGGAATCCAGGCCAGGGGTGGGGGTTGGAAAGGGCTTCAAGGGCCAGCCCCCTGACCACCAGTAACCAAAACACAGCTGATACTCCCAGCAGTTCTAATGTCAGTTGCCTGCCCTGTACCTCTGGGGTGAGCACAGCCTGAATCCTCATCCCTTTAGTAGTGGAGGAAACAAGGGCCAGAGAAGTTTAGTGCCTCTCTCAGGACACACAGCCAGGGATGGGAACATAGGTCTTCCAATGTATGTTCCAGATCCAGAGCATGCCCAGCTCAGGCAAGTGGAGGCATGTCAAAATGTGCCTGAGCATGAGGAGTTGAGGGCAACTCCTTCAAGGGTCTTCATGGGCAGAGAGGTAGGCAGCGTAGACACCAAGCCACCTCTCCTACCATCTGCTCAACTGAGCAGCTCAGCCTCAGAGATTTCACACCAAGATAGCAGGGCATCTGTGCTAGGCAAAGCCTGGAAGCCTGAGAAAAGAAGAAAGATGAAACCACTGGTCCTAGGTAGGGTGGAAGGTGGAGGAGGGGTGGTGGCAGTCCCAGATCTCAGGGACTGCTCCCTGGAGGAGCTGGAGGGGCCAGCAGAAATGCAGGAGGCATTCCTGAAGGAGCAGATTAGTCAGAGCTGGGAGCAGCACCTCTCATAGAGAGGAAATGGGAGCCTGGAAGTCTGGGTGGGGAGGAGGCCAGGTCAGCTGTGAGAACCCTTCCTGTGCACTCTTCCCCCTGCACTAGGTGAGAGGCTCCCTGCAGGCAGGGACTGTTCCCAGATGCTTACACGTGCTGGCTTCAGTGAGAACATGGGGATGCTCTGGAGGCAGAGCCCTGCACACAGGAGAGGCACCAGCCCTAAGAAGCCACAGGCTGAGCTGTGGTTTCCTGATTTGTTTTGGGCATTGGGATCCAGTAGAAAAGGGGGTGCAGATAACAGGGCCTGGAGGGGGTTCCCCTGACAACTGAGGGGTCAGCAAGACTCATTTAGGAGGTCAGACATCTTCCCCCCAGTAACATCTCTGTTGGCGACTGACGTGACTCCTGAGTCTGGGGACCCCCAACATCACACCACAGCGTGAGGCCACAGGGCCACCTTTGGGCTCCCACTGGAGCCTGGCTGAGCTGAGCCAGCTGAACAGAGAGCAGGATTGGGGAACAGACGCTCTCGCCAGGTGACAAGAAAGAACCAAGCTGCTGATACCTGGGTGGCTCTTCATGTCCCTGGTCCAGCCTGTCTCTGGCTCCCTGGGTGTCCTTGGGCAAGTCAGTGACCAACTGTCCCTGAGGTCTACAAGGAGGGCTCTGCTGTGGGTTGAGGCCATGACGAAGTCCATGCCTCCCACTCACACACACACATGCGCGCGCACACACACACGAATGCACACACGGGCACACGCGTGCACACATACCTGCGTGGCGCTCCATGCCCACGGGTGCCCTGCTGCAGGAAGGGCTGAGGCGAGAGCCAAGCAGAGCCCACAGCAGGGCTCCTAACAAAGGCGGGGAGGGGGGTTGGCAGCTCGAGGAGCGGGGGAGGCTGGGAGGGAAGTGGCTCAGAGCCTAACAGGCCACCAGCAGCCGCAGCATCTGCTTTTTCTCACCTCTAAAGGGAATCGATTTGTCTCTGACTGATTTCCCTGACGTCTAGTTTTCTTCTCCGCCCGGCTGTCAGCCCAGCCACCATGCAGGGGAGTGGGAAGCGCCTGGCCGCCAGCCCGCACGCCCTCCCCGCCTCGCCACATGCCCCCACACCACGCTGCACCCCGCACTCACGCAGGCCCACAAAGAAGCACACACCCACCCCACCCCCAGCAGGCCTGCCACACACAGTACACACACACACACACACACATATACACCACGCCCCCTGCAGCAGCCCTGCTGCATGAAGCACACAACACACAACACAACACACACATACACACCACATCTCCGATCCCCAGGCACTGCAGAAGTGTCACCCTCACCCCACACACCATGCTCACAAGGTCAGGCACACTCACTGTGTGGCCACTCTCAGACACCAAAATGACATTCACACACATAATCCTCACAGATGGCACAGATGCTTACACACACATGTCCACACAGCCATGCTCCCGTGTCTGCTGACACAGACCTGCACCTCCCACACACACGCACAACTTCCTGATCCCCTCCAGAACTCCCACGCCTCACGTGACACGCTATGTCCACACTCCTGACGCCCACACTGATTTGCACACCTGCACGCTGCACACTCCCCAACCACACACACACGGCCGCTGCTGTCCCCCACCTTGGCCTGCAACTCCCACCCCTCCAAGCTGCTTCCGGGCCCTGGGCCCTCAGGGTTCTCCTGGCCCCCTGAGTGTAATGTCACCCTCATACTTCTGCTTGCCATCTGTGGCAGGAAGCAGATGCACTAGAGACCCACCTTGCACCCAAACTCTCCAGAGCTTTGCTGGAGGGAGTCCTGGTGTGGGTTAGGACATAGCCAGGCCTGGCTGGGCAGGCCTAGTGCCCCCTGCCTGGGAAGGTGGTTACAGAACAGCCTGAGGCTCAGAATCCCAGCAAGGCTGGGGTGACTTGGGACAGGAATGGGGGGAGGATCTTCAGCATCGCCAGGATCAGGTAGTGGTTTCCTGATCACAAGCCTCCAGGCAGGGCTTCCCAGTGTTCCAAAGGACCCTGGTCAGTAAACAACAATGGCAGCAAAAAAAGCACTAACAACACAAACAGACCCTCTGTGTCCACAACGCATCCTCATGTCCCTGACAGCATAGGATTGGATCCTGGGAACAGCCCCTGGGCTAACTGCCATACTACCCAGCACTGTTCCCAGCCAAACGATGAGGAAACTGAGATCTGAATCAGGAAAAGGTCTCTATGCCAGTGACTGGAATCCAGGTCTCCTGATTTCACAGCAAAAAATTCAGACCAAACCAACCAGCTGCAGATAATGGTCTACCTGTCCTCAGAAATGTCATGAGGCCACCAGGGTTGGCACCTCTCCCACCTTGGAGAATATGAAAGAATCCCTCAGCCTAGTGCTGCTGGTGAGGTTTGTGTGTGGAGGTTGTGACAGTGTGTGATTGTCAAGGTGTGGCCAGGTGCATTCAGGATGGTGGGTAGGGCGGAGCAGTTCCTGTTGGCAGGTGTTAGAAGGGGCTGTGTCTCCATTGGGTGCACGTGACTGTGTGCAGGGCATGTGCTGCCTAGGGGGTCCAGATGTAGTAGTGGGTTCATATGCACAAGAGGATGCAGACAGGAGGGGCTGGGCAAGGGAGAGGGGACTGTGTTTGTCCAAAGATGTGCACCCTGGTATGAGTGTGACCATGCACACTCCTCACAGGGTGCCCACTTGAGATGAGGGGCAATTCCCCTTCCAAGCCCTGTCTCCTGCTCCCCTGCCCTCCCCCAGGGCTTTATCTGGCCAGGCAGCCCTGCTTTCAGCTCAGGCAGCAGATAATTGATTAATAGAACTGGTTCTTGGCTCTTCAAGGTCTGGCTGGAGATAAGAGGAGACGCGAGTACCAGTGCGGAGGGGTTGACGCAGAATCCAGGGCTGAGCAAGAGGCCACAGGCCACAGGCACTCCTGTCCCAGTCCCTCATCCTCCTCCTTCAGATGCCAGGGTCCACATACCTGCTTGCATAACGTCAAGGCAAAAGTCACAGGGAGTCCCTGAAGGGCAGGGGCTGGGCAGGGTTCACCTGCATGTCCCGTGGATGTGGATACTGTGCTGAGCCCTGCTGCTGGGCAAATTATCTCCCAGCTGATCGTCTGCTCCTTATCCCCCCACTTCACATGCCCACTCATCCCAACACCTGACCCCACATCTGTTAGGTAAGCCAGTTGGGGGGTGGCTTCTTGAACCCCAGAGGCCAATGAAACACTCCTTTTCTCAGAGACTTTGCTGCCCCTGTGACCTCTGAGGACCCCCTCCAGGCTGGTGAGACATGTGGGGAGACTGACACCAATCTGAAAAGTCCAGTCACCAAAAGAGAGGCCATGAACCCAGAGCTGAAGTTATTGGGGGTCAGGGACCCTGGAAGATGTCCAGAGACAAAAGGTGGACATGAAATCCAGATTCTACACCAATGGGAAGTTGTCCTGCACCAGTTATTTTCTGCTTTATGCTAGACACTGTGCCACTGAGAGGTGAGACTGATTGCCATATTACCTGTCAACACCAAGTACTGCTACTGTCCACGCTCAGCATCTCCTCTGTAAGACCTGAGAGAAATGCAACAGGTAGACAAATGAGTTCTTAGGAAGACATACCCCTGACCTTAAAAGAACAATAGAAAGATTCGAGACCATCAGGGGGAGACACTCAGTTCTCCCAGGATGCCAGAGATTTCCCAGGATGGTTTAGGCTCCCAGGGAGGAGGGCAAGAGGCTAAGCAGTGAGTGGTGCATGAAGGTGTCTTTTCTCAGGTGGAGGCCTAAACTACTGCCCCTTGCAGTTTGGGGCACAGGTATGCATTCTCAGCTCCCTGGATGGAACTTCCAGAGTCCAGAGGACTTCTGAGTATCATCACTTTCCCTTCATGGAACAATGCTGGCTGGTCGGCCTCTGGAAAAGAGCCAGGGAGCCCTTCTGGAACATTCCCACCATCTGGCCTGGCCCCAACACAGCATTCCCTGCAAACCTCCCTCAGCCTAGTCCACTCTGATTTGGAGAACTATCAAAGTCAAGGCCAAAGGGTCAGCAGACCTCATTTACCAGTGGAGAAACTGAAGCCTGCATGAGGGAGCTGCAGACAGGCTGACGGCCACACAGCTGGCCTGAGGCAGGCCTCACCCCTGAGCTCAGGTCTCCTGATGCCTGGATGGACCTCAGCAGGTGCAGGGGCAGAAGCCGTCTGATGTGAGACGTGGTGCAGTTTTCCACCCTCCT